TGCAGGGGGAAGAAAGCTGCTCCTCTGGGAATGCAGGGGGCAGAGGCTGCTGTGCTGTTCCCAGGTCAGATTGGGTCCAAGTAGGAATGCTTGGCTCCTCCCCTGGGCAGAGCATCTCCCCATGGATGATGGAATTTTCTCAGCCAGGCAGGGACACTCAGTGGCCATGGACAGCAGAGATCTCCTGGAGGGAGGATTGGCTGTGGGAGAGATAAAGAAAAGTGCCCAAAGAACAGCAGGGACCTGCCCCAGCTCTGACAGGTGGCAATGGATACACACCCCAGACACATCTTGTGACCTAAGACACGGGGTCACCTCTGTCCCTGTCCCCTGCAGCTCAGTGTGTGGGTTTTCCCAGAGGGCACCAGGAACCCAGGCAAATCCATGCTGCCCTTCAAGCGTGGGGCTTTCCACCTGGCCGTGCAGGCCCAGGTAAGGGCACCCTTATTTCAATCAAATGTTGGACTCAATGGTCTTAGAGGCCTTTTCCAAAATCATTCCTTCCCCTTTGGCTCACCCTGGATGGAGCAGGGTGGGTGTGAACCCTGGGGCAAAGGGATGGGGGGTTTGATCCCCAGGGATGGGGAGGTTTATTCCCCAGGGATGCAGGGATTTAGTCCCCAGGGATGGGGGGATTTGGTCCCCAGGGATGGGGGGATTTGGTCCCCAGGGATGGGGGGATTTGGTCCCCAGGGATGCAGGATTTGGTCCCCAGGGATGGGGGGATTTGGTCTCCGGGCATGCAGGGATTTGGTCCCCAGGGCTGCAGGGATTTGGATCCCAGGGATAGCCATGGTGCTAGGCAGCACCAGGCAGGGACAGGGAGGAGCAGGAGTCTCACCTCTCTCTGGGGTCCCCCTGACTTTCCATGTCTTGCAGGTTCCCATTGTCCCCATTGTGATCTCTCCGTACTGGGACTTCTTCAGCCCCGAGGAGAAGAGATTCACCTCTGGTAAGGGATGGACAGGAATTTCCACAGCAGAGGGCAGGGCTGGCACTGGGCATGGGGCGCCTGGGGGTGTCTGAGGGACGCTAAGGGATGGAGAGGCAGCTGGGGTGGAAGATGCCTGGGAGAATTCCCAGTTCTTGGTGGAATCCTCTAACACATCCCTGGCTTTTCCCTCCTCTCCCAGGGACCTGCACCATCCGAGTCCTCCCCAGGGTGGAAACGTTGGGCCTGAGCCCAAAGGATGTCCCCAAACTGACTGAGAGTGTTCGCCAGGCCATGGCTGAGGCCCTGGCCGAGATGTCCATGAGTGACCACAGGGACCAGGACATGGAGCAGCCTCTGCTGGGGCCAGGGGAGGACAGGGGCAGCCCCCAGGGCCAGGGGGACACAGCCAGGAGCAGGAAATAGGCAGAGGGAGTGAGTCCCTCAGGGACACTAGGGAGGTGTCCCTTGTCCCCTGAGGAGGTGTCCTGCAGCCCTGCCACCGCCCCAGCAGGACGGTGTCCTAAGGGGAGCAGAGCAAGGCAGGATGGGGACCAGGTAGCATCCCCAAAACAGAGCAAAGTGCCCCCCAAAACAGAGTAAGGTGCCCCCTAAAACCCCTCGTTGTGACTGTGCATCCCCTGGCTGTCCCTCTGCCAGACCTGGAGCTGTGGCTGTCCCCCAGGATGGCTCCCGCCTGCTCGCTGGGCAGGGCAGGGATGCTCCAGGCAGGGCTGGGGGTCCACAGCCCCATTTTTCACTCCTGATTGTTGGGTTCCCCATGGATTCTCCTTCCAGAGGCTCCTACAAGCTGGAAATGCTCTTTGGCTGCAGCCAGCTCAGGGGAGGGGCCCAGAGTGTGTGGCCTGGGGGGGACACAAGGTCCAGGGGAGGTTTCCAGGTGGGGAGAGCATCCCACGGGGGGAGAAGAGCATCCTTGGTGCTGAGCTGTGAGCCAAGGGTGGGACATTAAAGAGACTGGAGCTGGTGCTGTGTCCTGGCTGTGCTGAGGGGGCTGAGGGGGAATCCATCTCCCAGGGAGACTTCAACTCTGCACACGGAGCACCCTGCACAGGGAACACCCTGCACACGGAGCACCCTGCACACAAAGCACCCTGGACATGGAGCACCCTGGACACAGAGCACCCTGCACAGGGAACACCCTGCACATGGAACACCCTGTGCACAGAGCACTCTGCAGGGATCATCTCCACCCCAGGGATGGTGTGAGGAGCACACGGCAGGGTGAGGGTTACCCAGGCCTGGGTCTGCCCCTGAGGCAGAGCTCTCCCTGTGCAGTAAGTGCACAAGAAGAGCACCCATTGAAGCCTCAAATTTCCAGCAATACCTGGATCGTACCCACCTGGACACAATCCCACCTGGAGGTTCCTCTCCATGGACTCTGGACCATGACCCATCTGACAGCTGGATGGTTCCCTGCAGCCAGGCAGGGATTTGGGATCTCCTGGCTCCTACCCAGCTGAGCAGCTCCTGTGCCAGCACCCCAGGGTGGCAGCAGGGCAGGGACAGGGCAGGGTGTGGTTGTCCCCTTGTGGGGAGCAGGAAGGGCAAGGCTTCCCCTCCCATACTGGGATAAAAGGTGCAAACCACGGGCACAGAGCTCCGGTTTGGCACCAGTCCTGCTCTCAGGAGAGCTGATTATGGAGGAAATCCTTCAAATCTGTTGCAATCATCCGACACCAAACAGCAAAGAGGCTTCCCATGAGAAACAACCCATGGGATCAGGAGATGTCACATGGACATGGCCAAGGGCACAGGAAGGTCCCATGTCTCAGAAAACCCCTTTAATCCTTTCCTGCTTCCCAGGATTCCCAACATGTGGCATAGTCTGTCAGCTCTGAGCTGGCCTGGGGGTCCCACCACACCCCCACACTGGGGGTGGTTTGCCTGCCCAAAGTTTGGGTTTGGGGGTTTGAGCATCAATGGAATCATGGAATGGTTCGGGTGGGAGGAACCATAAAGCCCATCCAGTTCTGCCATGAGCAGGGACACCTTCCACTGTCCCAGTGTGCTCCAAGCACCCTCCAACCTGGCCTTGAGCACTGCCAGGGCTCCAGGGGCACCACAGCTGCTCTGGACAAACCCTTGTCCTGCCTGGAGGGCCGGGGCCCAGCCAGAGCCCTCCCTGGATTTTCCACTGTCAGTGGGAGAAGAAAACTTGAGGAGAGGAAAAAACCTTGGCATGGGGGCTCTAAGAACACCTTGCTTTTTCTGGTTCTCCAAGGCCTGCCCTGCCTGGCTGCTCTGGGTACCCAGCCCTGGCAGAGCTGCCCAGGGCAGTGCTGGGTCCCCATCCCAGGAGGGGTTTCACAGCCCTGCGGATGTGGCACATGGGGACAGGGGGCACGGTGACCTTGGCCGTGCTGTGGGAGCCGTGAGCTCCTCGTCCATCTGGGCTGTCTGGCAGGGCACTGACCCCTGCCCACTTCCTGGCAGGACTACATGAACCTGGGCCGTGCTCCTGCCTCGTGTCCTTGGGGGTGGCAGGTCCAGCCCCCTCCGGCCACCTACAGCCACTGGGGCTGCTCCAGAGGGTGGGGAGGTGGGCACGGAGCCATGGTCATCTGAGACCCCATGGAAAAGCTCAGCCCCATCCATGGCTTCCTGTAAGGCCCTGCACAGATTCCCAGAGCAGCTGTGGTGCCCCTGGAGCCCTGGCAGTGCCCAGGGCCAGGCTGGACAGGGCTGGAGCAGCCTGGGACAGTGGGAGGTGTCCCTGCCATGGCAGTGGTGAAAGTGCTTTAAGGTCCCTTCCAACCCAAACCATTCCATGATTCCATGGCTCCCACAGCCTCAAAGGGAAGGGAACTGCAAGGCCCTAGACAGGGGATGTGCTCAGGACACTGTGGGGCTGTCGTGGAGCTCCTCAACCATCCCACAGTCCCAAGAGGACAGAGGGAAGCTCTTGGAACCCTGGAAAATGAGAATTTCAGTCTTTCTGTGCTGCCAGGCACTGACCCCCAGGAGAACACTGCACTGACCTGAGGCCGTGGAAAAGCTTCCAAAATGGAATGGTAGAACTGGGATTGGATCTTGAATAGAAATGTGTGATATCACAGGGTGGGAAATTCAGAGTTTAAGGGTTTAGAATACAGTAATATATACGTAGCAAGATGGACGTTTTAGGCTGGAGGCTGGTCCTTCTCCTTCTTCTTCACCTTCTTCTCCATGGGTTTGGGTGGTTTTGTGTAATTGTATAAAAAAGTCCACATTGCGGGCATGGGTGGTTGGTTACTGGGTTAAAAGTGAAAACAACTTAGGTGTCATTTCTTAATTGGACATTTTATCCTTAAAAGGCCTTGTAGAAAGAGAGATAGAACTTCATTTCCATCTTGTTAGAGTTAAGTGCTGTAGAAGTCATGGTTTGTGAGACTGTAACATAGATAAGAACTAATAAACATTTGGGTTTGAACAAAAAATATTGTCTTGTGCATTTAATCCCAACCTTAACAGAAAAAAGAAGAGAGGAATCCACAGGAAGTAGCTTGGCCCTGCCCTGGCAGGTGTCCATCTCCCATGAGTGGAATGGGAGCAGATGAGCAATTCCACATCCCCACACTGTCCTGTTCCTCTGCTCAGACTGAAAGGAACTGGGCAAACAGATCACTGTCCCAAAAACTTGGGACATGTGATCTGCCCAAATCTGGTTAAACTTGAAATACCTTTACATTTCTCGTTTCTGAGAAATCACCCCCAGCTCCCAGCCCCTCCTCAGGTTGTGCTCCCTGTTTTCATTTCTGTGTGCTCCTGCAGACTTCTGACTTCATTTCCCAGCAAATCTGTGTGGAGTCCTGGCCCAGACTGAAACTCCAGGGACCTTTCCCAGTATTGCAAACATCCCTGGAGTCACTGACCCCCAGAGGCCGTGGGCAGAGGGCAAACACTGCCTGGACTTTATCTGCAGGTGCCCAGGGCTCCTCTGCCAGCCCCTCTCTCCTCAGTGGGTGGGACACAAGGACCCCATTTCAGAGCCTGCAGCGGGTCAGACACAAATCCAGAGTGATCCAAGAGCTGCAGGGGGAGGCTGTGGCTGTTCCCAACATCCACATCCAGCTGGGGACACGATGTCTCCAGCCCTTCCCACTCTCTTCACCATCCTGCTCCTCTCAGCCGGGGTCTCTGGAGCACCGTGAGTCCCCTCTGTGTCCAGCTGTGTCTGCTGGGGTGGTTTAACCGTGGCTCCTTGTAGTTCCTGGTGGGATTCAATCCCTCCTGTGCCTGCTGGGGTGGTTTAACCTTGGCTCCTTGCAGTTCCTGGTGGGATTCAATCCCTCCTGTGCCTGCTGGGGTGGTTTAACCTTGGCTCCTTGCAGTTCCTGGTGGGATTCAATCCGTCCTGTGCCTGCTGGGGTGGTTTAACCGTGGCTCCTTGCAGTTCCTGGTGGGATTCGATCCCTCCTGTGCCCTGGTTGCTGCCCAGGGTGTCCCAGCTGCTCAGTCTCCCTGCCCAGGAGCACTGAGGACCCAGCCCTGGTGGCCCTGGTGGCCCCGGTGGCCCCGGTGGCCCTGGCGGCTCTGGTGGCTCTTGGGAGCTGTTGTGCCCTCACCTGCAGAGCTGAGCTGAGGAGCCCAGGGCAGCCCAGAAGCAGAGAGGGGTGGCTGGAGGGGTTCCTGTGCTCCGTGGGGCTTTTCCAGGTCTCTGTGGGGCCGTGCTGGATGTGCCTCACCCCCAGGGCTCTCCTGTCCCTTGTCCCTGCCAGGAGTTTCGTGGTGGTGTCCCCGGCCGTGCTGTACCACCCTCACCCTGCCACGCTCTGGGTGCACCTCAGTGACCTCCAGGGGCCCGTCCAGGTCCATGTCCAGCTGCAGGGGGACAGCAGGACCCCTCCCACCACCCTGCTGAGGAGAAAGGTCCTGGAGCCTCATCTGCACCTGAACGTCACCTTTCCGGTGAGTGTCACCCCAAAGCAGCCGGGAGCAGGCAGCGGGCCTGGGTGGCCTCCAGGCCATTTCCATCAGGACTGGGGACAGATGTGACTTCGCCATCTCGTGGCAGGGTCTCACCCCTGGCACTGACAAAGCCAGGCTCAGCCGGTTATCCCGGCTGGAATGATCCTGCCTGCAGGCTGCAGGGTGCTGGGGGACCCTGGCTGTGGGGGGCTCCTGGGGCTGGGGGTGCTCTGGGTCCCCCGGGCACCGTCCTTGTCCTCTCCCCGAGCCTGCTGATCCCCCCGCAGGCTCCAGCCCCCGCCAGAGGGAAGGAGGAAATCGTGGCCCTGCACGTCTCCATCCAAGGAGATTCCCTGAATGTCTCCGAGTCAAAGAAGGTGATGCTGAGAGCACTGAGCCCCGGGATCTTCATCCAGACGGACAAGGCTGTCTACAAGCCTGGGCAGGAAGGTGAGGGGGCAGGAGGGACACCCCGGGTGTGAGGAGAGGGGTGAGGGGGCCGAGCCTTGCTCCTG